GTAATCAGTGCACATCCGGTGTGAACCATCCTTCTTCTTGACAAACAGAATAGGCGCTCCCCACGACGAACTGCTTGGCCGAATAAACCCCTTCCCCAACAGCTCCTAAAGCTGCGAGGATAACTCTTGCATCTCTGGAGGTGCAAGACGATAAGGCACCTTAGCGATAGGCGCGGCCCCCGAGACCAAATCGATACTGAACTCTACTTGCCTCACGGGAGGCACACCCGGTAAATCCTCTAGAAAGACATCCGGGAACTCACGCACTATAGGAACCTCCTCCACCGACCTCGGCCTCTTGGAATCAACCCGCGTATCCGATACGTACGCCACAAAACCCTAACAACCCTGCTGTAGACACTGCCTCACCTAGCGGCCGAACAAAATGCTGATCCAGAACGAGTACCCTCGCCGTATACTGTAAGAACTCCCCCACTAGGGTCTCGTATGGTCACTAGCTATCGCTCGCAGTCGATAACCGCACCGAACCTGCTCAACCAGTCCATGCCCGCAATGACACAGACATCCCCCATGGTAATAGGAACCAAATCAATCGGGAACTCAACACCGAAAACTTCGAGTACGCACCCATGGATCACCTCCATGGCATATATCACCTTCTCGTCAGCTATGGAAATTCTCAGAGGCCGACTCAGCGCTTCACGACTAACACTGATGTGCTGACTAAAAGCCAAAGATACAAAATTTCGACTCGCACCCAAGTCAAATAATACCAAGGCAGGTACAGAATTCACAAGAAAAGTACCTACGCATAACATAATATAAGCATAATATCTCAACATTACAATAAATACACGAAAGAATACATACCAGCCACGACATTAGGCGCTGCGCGGACCTCCTCCGCAGTCAACTAAAACGCTCTCCCACGTGACCTCGGTGCCTCGGCCTTCACTGGCCGACTCTCGGTAGCTCTAATGGCGGCAAGGGCAGATCCCTGAAGTGCTCCCTGAGCTGATCCCCGCAACTGCGGACATTCCGCCTTCTGGTGTCCGGTCTGGTTGTAGCGAAAACATACTGCAAACCCCTTGGGGCAGTCCTTGGCCATATGCCCCTCCTTGCCACATTTGTAGCAAGATCCAGCTCTACATACTCCATCATGACCTTTGCCGCACTTTCCACAAGTGCGGCCCTTCTGGCTCCTTGATTTGGGATCAGCGGGCTTGGCCCGCTTGGCTGCCGGCTGGAATTGTGTCGATCGCCGATCCCTCCCCTGAGACTCAGCCTCCTCCCTAACTTGAGTCTCCAGCTCAATCTCCCTCTTCCGGGCATATGTCTGAAGCTCAACAAATGTCCGGTACGAGGAGTTCATCACGAACTCCCGAATGTATCGCCTCAAGATACTCAAATACCAACTCATACGTGCCTGCTCAGTTGACACGTGCTCAGGGAAGAACATCGCCCTCTCGTGGAACATCCTGGTAATCACCATAACAGACTCAGTGCCCTGCTTGAGGGTCAAAAACTCCTGGGCCAATCGCTCCCTCTCCACCTGGGGAATGTACTCATCTCGGAACATGGCAGTGAACCTCTCCCAGGTCACCACCGCAAGCTCAGCAGGCGAAAAGTGCGCTGTCACAAACTTCCACCAGTCCTTCGCTCCCAAGCGAAGCTGGTTCAACGCGAACCGTACTCTCAAATGCTCAGGAGATGAGCAAGTGAATAAACACCCCTCCATGTCAGAAATCCATCTCATAGCCACCACCGGGTCCTAGGTCCCATCAAACTCTGGTGGTTTCGTGTTGCAGAACTCCCGGAACAACAATGCATCACCACCCTGCGGCCTCGCAGCAGCAACAGTTGTGGTGGCCGCCGCAACAGCAGCCTTAGAAAGAGTAGCATAACGCTCGTCAAAAGTCTCAATCAGCACGGTCTTAATAGACCCTAACGTCTCTGGTATCTCTACCCTGATGACCGCAGCCACCTCCTCGTGAATGATCTGACGGATCTCCTCATCACTAGCCCCAACACCCTCCGGCATATGACGTGTACTCACCATGATCAACCTCTGAAATACAACATATGATAAATTAGAATCCGTTCGAGCATAGTCACACTTGACAACTCATCCCTCCTTGATCCTTGGCATTCTGAAGATTCTTACTTGGACCGTACACCGCCCCGGTGCTTTCAGTAGTACGGGCCCAATACTACTGTCCACATCGTTTCAGTATACACCCCAAGTCCTCCTCTTCGAATCCCAGTTTCCAAGTACTCTATCGCTTTCTAATATATCTCTCATAAGCTCCTCGCTGCTACATATTCACTCTTAAGCATCTCATAGCAGCTCACCTCTCCCTAGGCTAAGGCATCACAAATCAGGGCACTCTAGTCCTATTAGGAATACCCCACCTACTCTAGCAAAAGAATACATCATAACAATCTCATAAACATATAATATAAGGGTATTTTGGGAAATCACCGTTCGAGCGCTGACTGATTGTACACACGTTTCTTCTCTGAATTTCTCTAAAAATCTTTTACTTTTTAGAAAATTTGGTTTTCTTTTGAAAATATTTTCCAAATCCTCAGTTTGAGTTCAAATACTCCCGAAGCTGTACCCGAATCCCTCAAACCAAGGCTCTGATACCAACTTGTAACACAGTAAATTTCAAAACAAAATTTTCAAATTTTATAAAACATAATTCACTTAATATTCATAAAACAACCATATTGAAATTCAACCCAAGTAATACAAAAATCCCAAGATCTCCAAAATCACAAATCCCATGCGTGTGTACTGATCAAGCCGGTGCCTCGGTCGTCACTAGTACCTGAAACAATTAACACCAAACACTGTAAGCACACAGCTTAGTGAGTTCCCCAAATACCACATATAACACATATTAGCCACTCGAGGCTATATCTCTGTGAGTCCGTGCACCCAAACTCTGTGAACCCTAAGGTTCTAACTCTGTAAACATGCACAACATAAATCACAAGGAATAATGCAGCGCAACACAAATATAGCATACAAGCACTGTACCACATAACTCTAGTTACCTACTCAAGGTATGTATAGTGAGAAGACTCACCTCGCGTATCTCGGTAATTCGTAAATCCCTGAAATCACTAGTGCTCGATCTCCCGAGCTATAGTCCTCCTATAACACAATACATCTCTAATTAACACTTTCCCAACTAAGGTTGACTATCCCTTAACAAGTCAACATAGGTCAACACTGGTCAATGGTCAACGGTCAACTTTGACCGGACTCGGCGAGTGCACTATAGCGACTCGGCATGTCTATACGCCTACACTGATTTCCCTGGGATCCTCACTTGACACGACGGGTATTCTCCTAACTCGACGAGTTCCACCTGACATGATTTGTGGGGCCTCCACGACTCAACTCGACGAGTCTCAAGAACAACTCGGCGAGTCCCAGCTTGACTTAGTCCACCTGTCAACCCACTCTGACTCTCCCTGACTCATAGAGTCAATCCCTCAACTCGGCAAAACCACTCGCTGAGTGGTGCTGGGCAATCTTCATGCTACTCGTCGAGTCTGTTCTTTGGACTTGGCGAGTCCATGCCATGCAACGACTCAAACTCACTCTTGAGGTCAGATCTGTTCCACTAACTCATAGATCCAGTCCTTCCAAGCTTATTTATCACGTAAAGTCACTATCTTGATGTACATACAACATCTATATGACCATATATGATGATTTAGCCTCAAATACCACAACTCAAGGTCATAACCTCCATTGCTCTTCATAAAGCTTGATGAGTGAGGCTCTCTGGACCTCTATGGATCCAGATCCAAAGCCTCATCACTAGAAAGGGACTATTTGGGCATCAAATCAACCCAACAAAGGCCACAAGAAACCCTAAATCCAAATATACTTCATAAAACAGAAGATGAGCTGAATTAATACCTCAAGTGCGATGATCTAAGCTTCAAATCCACAGTATAGGAACCTCCTTTGCTTCCTCTTGGTTAGGACCTCCTTCTTCTTGCTAAACAACACCACAAAGGTCAAGAAGGGCTTCCTTTCTCTCTCAAAACGCTCAAGCACTATAGGGTTTCTCTCTATGGATTGGTGAGCACAAATGACGGCCATAAGGCCCTTTAAATAGGTCTCAAACCCTGGGAATTAGGGTTTCATTACACATCGTGGACTCGCCGAGTCCACTCTTGGACTTGCCGAGTCCAGACGCAAACCCGCGTCCAAAATCGTGATCCTACTCGGCGAGTTTGAGCTCCAACTCACTGAGTCCACTCACAATTCTCCAAAATACACAAATAATAAATACCTGGAAATTCCAGGCTATTACAGTCTTCTCCAAATTCTCCATTTTCTTTCAATTGTTTCCTCTGCACTGCATGTCTTGCTGTTAGTGGGGTCTCTATTCCTCTATGATGACCACCGGAGAATGCAGTTTCGATTAAAATTGGTTTTCGATCACCGTCACTGACTAGCAGCAAGAGCAAGATCCGACGTCGGTCTCTTCTGATTTCGAAATCTACGCCTGACTCTCCTTCTGTCGCCACTTCGTGAATCCAATGGTAATTTTTTAAAACACGATCATATCTATTTCAATCACATGAATCAAACAGACTATTAGAATGCTTGTGTATTGTATATTGAAATCTATAAAGAATCAAAACAAATTCGTTATACAAAATGTTCATATTTATATATCATGTATTTTCTGTATCATTTTATGTTTCATTGCTCTTCGTTTTTGGTTTAGTAACGAGGAAGATCTGTATTACAGGGTGAATCTATGTGAAGATGATTTCTTATTGTTTAGTGTGCGTCTTAGATGAAAAGACGACCATATCACTCATTTGTAATGAAAAGAAGTTGACCAAAGGTCTAATTCTTAGATGAAAACACGACCATATCACTGATTTTATTCCATGTTTAGTTTGCAAAATCGCATCTAGGTCAAGAGATACAGGGGTCGGGCTGTACTTTGCCTCTATCATTATATAGCTACTCTAAAGTTCTTCTCTAATTAACGGTGCATATGAGGGGTCTTTCCCCTGTTCCTCAGAAAATCCCAAATTTCAGTGGAGAGGCAGATGGTTGTCATGGAAGATTCGAAGATAATGAAGTGAAACTCTTCGTCGAGAGCTGTCAATCCGACCTTTGGTATTTGTTGCCTACATGTGACAGGTATGCATTCTTCAACTCCAACTATAGTTTTTCTTTTTAGATTTCTCTCTATTATCCTTGATACTATGGAAAAAATACAGTCTCAATAAGATAACTACAGATCTTCATCATCTTCAGCAACCAGTCCTGCTAGCAGAGTACCATCAAGTAACTTTTTCTACTTAAGAAAACGAGGTGCTTTAACATAACCGATTTCATTTGAAGATTCACCTGATTGGGAAGAACCAGATGTTGAAGTTAGGGTGGAAGAGAGTGGGGATGGTGGTGACTCCATTAACACTGCCACCGCCCCCATCTCACCATCTCTTTCAAAGCTCAACAATGGCTCCATGCTATCTCCACCACTACCACAAGGTGCAGTTGTAGCAAGAAAGATAGAGGTGCTACAATGGTGTGGAAGGATTTAACAGTTACTATAAAAGGAAAATGAAAATACTCTGATCGAGTTATAAAAAGCTCAAATGGCTATGCTTTACCTGGAACAATGACAGTCATAATGGGCACTGGAAAGTCAGGAAAGTCTACATTATTAACAGCTCTTCCAGGTATTTAGTCAAACTTTAACAATTTTTTTTATTTCCAATTTTAGATTTGTGAAATTTAACAACTTTTCATTCCCCTTTAGGAAGGTTGGATGATTCAGCTAAAACATATGGTGAAGTATTCATCAATGGAGCAAAACCAAAATTGCAGTATGAATCCTATGTAAGTTTTCAAGATTTCTTTAGTATGATGGGATGGAATTAAATCAACATTTTAGTGGTAAAATCAAGATTTTTATGTTGTGGGACCCGATTTTTCTAACAAACTTCTTGTGTTATTGTAAGAGATTTCTTGAGAGAAAAAACACACTAATCGGATCATTAACAGTTCGCGATTTTCTTTACTACTCAGCACTCCTTCAATTTTCTGTTTTTTTTTATCAAAAGAAAAGTGTTGTAGACGATGCAATTCTTGCCATGTCATTAGGTGACTATGCAAATAAACTCATAGGTGGACATTGCTACATGAAAGGCCTTCCAAGTGGCGAAAGAAGACGTGTCAGCATAGCAAGAAAGCTTGTAATGAGGCTACAAGTCTTATTCATAGATGAACCTCTCCACCAACTTGACAGGTCAAAGATTTTACCTTTTTGCCCTTACTCTCAATACCCTTTTGTGGAATAAATCAATAAACACCAAATTGGTGGACTTTTAATTTAAGTGAGTGGAATACCCAATTTTTGTGCTCTTTTTAAAAATAAAAAAAAAAAAAAAATATTGTTTAGGGTTTGTGTTGAATCTGTGCATTTTGTTGTGGTCTTTCCAGATGCACTTTGTTTTGTTTGGGTAGTTTGAGTGAGTGGCCCATCCAGTGGGTCCTTTTAAGGGTATTGTTCATCATTTTTATGAAATACATAATAACTTTTCTTTTAAGTTTCTTTCAGCTTTTTAGATATTAAAAATAAGCAAATTGTAAGACTCCCTACATTTCATAATAATTAGAACTGCAATCATGTATTTTATTAATATTAAAAAAACAATTTTTTAAGTCTTTTGAAGGAATCAAAATCCCATATATGTATATCTTTACGTATTACTCAAACATTCTTATTGTTCCAAGACGAATGGATATTATCACACTATAATAACCTGAAAGATATCTACATTCATCTTTTTTTTACAAGTAGGTTATAATTTATGAGTTGTTTCAATCAAATAAAAAAAATGACTTTCTACTGTCACATTAATGAACCGTTATTGTCTTCAATATATACTATTTTCCCTAATTTCAATTGGTTGGTAAGTTGGAACAGAAGAGGCTTTCACCATCACCGCCCACCACCGTATACGCTGTAGTGCCCTGGATGTTGTACTCAGATTTGAAGGAAGGATAGTATGATAGTGGGAGCATATATTTGGTTGTTATCTAATGAGGGGCATCCTTTTTAATGCTATACACAATAGTGGTAACTCTTTAGATATCAGAAGGCGTTTAAGGATGGCCTGTCGATGTTGTAAGGTTTTTTTCCCTCAAATATCAATAATCAACTTTTACCTTACAAGGTTTTTTTTTTTACCAACTTATTATTATTATTATTTTTTGTAGGCGAGAGGTATGAACTATGTACGCAAATACACCATTATACTTTTGATTTTTTTTATATCAAAAACTACCTGATTAGAGAAAAACACATTCATTTTTTTAAATAACTAATAAATATAGCAATGAACTTTCATTTTTTTGAACTACCCATAAATATCATTCAACTTTTTTTTAAAACTGACACTCTGATTGGGGCTTTACTGACAAAATAATTAAGGTTAGGAAAGGAACATGCGGTAAGGATAAAGCGAGAAACTGACATGTTCCCTTTGTCAGTTTATGTTTCTTATCCCTCCTAACAAGCTACCACTTGACAGTGTGAACAAAATAATTTGCTTGTATTTTTTAGGATTTATTTGATGATTCAAAGGGTGAAAAGGTTTTTAGCTGTCGATTCTTGTCGGTTGATAGCGAATTGAAAACTTTGGTTGATTTTAACCATAGGTATGACATGGATCTTTGCATGAATTTACCTGTAACAGCAACATACTTACATTAACATAATCTTATTTTTGCACGTGGAATTAAAAGAAATTAGTCATTTTAAGTTGGGTTTCGGTTTTTCAGGATTTTTTTTTTTTTTTTTTTTTTTGCTTATCTTGTTTAATGGTTGTTTCATTTCACAAATAATAACAATGTACTTACATTTTTTACAGCTTGCTGAGATGATAGCAATGTAATTACATTTTTTAAACGATAATAGCAATTTGTTTGTATAATATTTACAATAATAACAAAGTGCTTAAATTTTTTTATTGACTGAGTGGAAGCTTCAAGTAATTCTTAATTTGATTAGCGATACAAACAATTGGCAGATCCTCAAATAATTCAATATTTTGAGAAACATCTACTAAGACCATGATTTCCATTTCCAGGTGGTTGGATGGATTGCAGAATATGCATGACAGGGTTCAAACACCGAATGCTAGCAATTGGGCTCTTTTAATTGGTTCTCACTTGGTGAGCCATTATGAGTTTTTTATTTGCATAAAATATATTTATTCACTTTTTCTCTTCATTTCCGTCATTATTGACCTAAAAAACAGCTGCCAGGTTCGATTTTCTCAGTTGGACATTTTTCAATGAGTTGGCATTTCACATGGCAAGTGAAATGGCCACATATGTGTGTACAAGTGTCAAAAATTGTTGTTTTTAAGTGTCCATAAGTATAGCACATGCTTATGTGGACATCAGATGCCACATCATAAAAAATCGTTCATGTAAGCAAATCAAAGTTTCTAACCGAGTTTTCGTGTTGTTGATTTTTTTTTATCATCCTCCAGGTATTAAGGTTGGAACTCATTTGGTACAAGGACCCAACAAATGCAATGACAATTAAGTAATTATATATATATATATATATATATATATATATATATATATATATATATATATATATATATATATATATATATATATATATAAATTACATATGGTGCAAAATATTAAATGAGTATGGTACAGGGACCAAAACCATTACCAAAGTCTCTAATAAGGATCAAAATTATAAAAAGTTCTATATAGTTGTAGCATCTTACTTTCTTTTTATTAATTAGAATCTTACCTAATTATAGGATTTGGAGGCATTTTATTTGATCCGTGAAATCCGGCTCTCCAGTTCCATCCCATCAACCAAAGGATAAACCCATGAAATATATATTTCGATAAATAGCTTATCCGACAACAAAAAAATTATCCATGACGAAACAATATTACTGCCGAATAACAATACTCAAACTATCAACAAATAGTTGATCAAATAACATTTACAAAGAACAAACAACGAAAAACATTGTCGCATCCGACCCCCGCAACGTGGGGGTTCCCCACCTAGTTAATATTATATACCACCTATCATGCCACATGTCAACATATTAATTCTTCATTTCAAATTTTAAAATTTAAATTTCTCTCTTTAATTACATTAATTAATATTTGATTCTTAATTTTAATTTTTTAATTTCACATTTTAATTACACTAAATTAATAACATCAGAATAAAATATAAAATAAAATTAATATATATTATAAGGTGATATCATTTCATGTATTTATTTAAATCAATGATTATAATTTTATATAACTAAAAATAATATCTCTTAAATAATAATTTATCTAAAATAATTTATTTGAAATAATTGATTAATAGTTTTAAATTTTTACTATGAAATTTTAATTAATTTTATAACTGTGGTTTCCACGGGTTATAAACTAGTATATATATATATATACACACACACACACACATAGAGAGAGAGAGAGATAGAGAGATAGAGAGAGATTTAAATAAAAACAATTATGAAATCGAGAACACGAGAACAAATCTGAGCTATATATATATATATATATATATATATATATATATATATATATATATATATATATATATATATATATATATATATATATAAAAGTTCAATAGAGAATCATAATTATTGATTCTTCAAGGAACCAAATCTTTTTTTTTTTTTAATTTTTAGAGCATATTCTTTATCTAAAAAAAATCTAAATTCATATATTAACATTGTGAATGTGAAAAATATTTTTCGGATTCAGCGTGTGAATGCGGATTCACATTGTGAATTTTCAAAGATTCACATTGTGAATTTGATGTAAAAAAAATCGAATTTTATATCATTGGAAAAATGATAAAAATTTATGAATTTCTGTATTTTTAGTTTTTTTTTTTTTTGATAAAAAATAAGTTCTAAAAGTTGAAAAAAAAATTGGTTCCTTAGTTAATTATGGCTCTCTATTTAACTTTACCCTATATATATATATATATATATATATATATATATATATATATATATATATATATATATATATATATATATATATATATATATATATATATATATATATATGCCGCAAAACCCTCCTGCTTACCGGCTAGGGATGTCAAAAAGTCACGTGGAGGCCCCGTCCCGTTTAGGGGATATTTTTTTAAAAAAAATCGGGGGCGGGGCGGGGGTAGGCAATCCCGTCCCGAAATTACCATGGGGACTCCGTTAATAAATTACACATATATTTACATATATTAATTATATAAATATAATAAATAATAACATGATTTTGAGCTTCCAAAATTCATCAAAAAAAATGTTTTTAAGTTGTTGGCATAATTTTTTAAAATGCTATAACTTTTTTATTTTTAACATATAAAATTCTGCTATAAATAATTATTTGTTATCTAAAAAATAGCTTTTTTTAACCAAAATAACAACTTCTTTTAGCCAAAAAAAAAGTAGCCCAAAATTAATCGGGGGCGGGGCGGGGGTAATAAAGGGGATTCAGGGGCGGGGGCGGGGGCGGGAAATGCACTCCCCGCCCCGTTGACACCCCTATTACTGGCGACGCGGAGAAACTTGATATTCATATATGAATATAAAGGTAAGTAAATTATCGCATATTACAAATTATCAACCATTTAAGTGCTCTAGCGTACTGAGACGACATAACAGATAATATTCATATATGAATAATCACTAGAGAATATGCATATACCATGCCGGTATGCGAGAGGGTTTTTCGGCAAAAATAAATATGTGGAACAGTGGTGATTACATTAGTTGTGCTTAGGGGTGTTATTTAGTCGGTTTTTCTGGTTTTAGTTTAATCGGTTTGATCTTTTCATTTTTTTACATCTTAAAACTAACCATAACCAAACCAAATAAGGTTTGGTTTAATCGGTTAAGGTGTATTCGATTCGGTTTACCGGTTAAACTAAATAAAATTTAGCATGTAAAAATAAATATTAATCTAAAAGAAAAAATACTTACTAAACTTAACCAAATGAAAAAAATACATTAATACATCATATATTATATTATGTCTTTAACGATATGTTGTATAAAATTGTCAATATAGTCATATAAGTTGTAGAGCTGAATTAATATAACTTTACTTTTATAAGAGAAGAAAAAAATATCGAAAATTAATTAACATTTAGCTAATTAATTGTTGTTTTTCTGCAATATATAAATAATTATAAACTTATAATGACTAGTAATTAAATAATGAGGAATCAAAATCTTTTTTAGTAACTAATCATTCAATTTAGTATATAAAATATTAATAT